AATATATATATATATAATATATATATATATATATGTAGATACATATGTATATTAAAATAAGAGTATACATATAATATATATATAAATATATAAAATATATATTAAATATATATATTATATATTTAATATATATATATTATATATTTAATATATATATATATATATATTTGTTTACCCTTCCATAGAGAAACATCATAGCGAGTTGTCCGTAGCCTTTTTGTTTATTTGCTAATTTCCACAGCCAAGGGGGATAGAAATTATCAGCAAGGATTTGGTGATCTTGAATATTTTGATAAATATTAAATATATTATTAGCATTCGTGTCTTGCTTGGGTGTTTGTCTTTCAGATGACCCCTCAGAAGAAGAAGAAGAAGAAGAGACGCCCTTCTTCTTGGCAGCAAAACGAGGTAAAGATAAATAAAATATTTGCATGCAGTTTGAATTCAATACAGGTAGACATCTTGAAGAAAAATGCGTTACATTTATATTCATACCTTTGTTTGCTGAACACATCAACGGACGCGAAAGATAATAACACCCAATCATCTCCACTCAACCTAAACCCTAAACCCTAAACCCTAAACCCTAATTATTCACATGCCTAGAAAAAATAACAGTGCATCAAACCCTAAATCATACAAAAACTTCTTATGTCTTCAACACAAAACACCAAACCCCCCAACAACTCAACACGCCAAAACCCTAAACCCTAAACCCTAAACCCTAAATAAAGGAAAATGAGGGTTTTAATTCCTTAGGGTTTAGCAGCCCTCTTAGGGTACAGCTTCTCAATTAGACGAAGTTTTGGGGGGCCCCTGGGGGCCCCTACTGCAGTTTGTTGTTAGGAAATGCAAAAGATCTGGAGGTCTAATATATTAGTTTTCTGCTGCAGCAACAATTCAGGAGTTCATTCTGAGGTGTACATACACCGGAGATTCAAATATATGAAGCGGGAAGTCAGAACTGCTTGCAGTGCGACTTCCAGCCCCGAGAGGAGGAAGGAGAGAATAAAAAAAGGAAGTAAAACAAATAAAAGAAAAAAATTAAAATAAAATCAATTAAAAAAATCAAAATATTTAGACGAAAGCAATATGAATATTTAAACAAACTCAGGTGTACATACACCCGAAAATTTAAACAGCGGGTCCGACTGTTTGCTGTACTTGCTGCTGCTCTTGAGAAGAGAATTAATATATGAAAAAAAATAAGCAAAACCTCAATAATAAAATACATTTATTTAACTCATTAAATGCCCTTAAAACTATACACGAAACACCAAACCCTAAACCCTAAACCCTATACCCTAAACCCTAAACCCTTGACCCTTGAGCTTCGCTACAACCGTAGCAATTCGTGAAGCCGCTGCCTCGTTCTTTGCTTCTGTCCCTTGATCCTTCATTTTAATTTTTTATTTGAGTTTAAATTCGTCAATATTTTGATTAGTTTCATTTAATTAAACAAAGTACTTCTTCTTTACTCTGCCTCAGCCGCGGGAAACCGAGCAGCTACAGCGGAAGAGGTTGTGTGTACATACACCTGATGCATAGACACCTAAAACGGGTGAACTTTTCATTATAAAGTATTTGCTTATCAATAAACAAACGGAATCTCCAGTTTGTCTCACCAATCTAAGAGCAGTAAACCCTAAACCCTAAACCCTAACCATGTTTTCCTGCTGCTGCGCGGACACCGCCACTCGTGGCGATCTTCTTACCGAGGAGAAACCCGAAGTTTTTGACGGGGCCTCAGAAGTTCAAGATAGAGGTCATTCAGTAGCAGCAGCTACACCAGCAGCAGCAACACCAGCAGCAGCAAACGACACAGCAGGAGCACCAGCAACAGCAAGCGATGCAGCAGCAGCACCGCAAGAGGCTGCAGCAGCAGCAGCAGCAGCAGCAGCACCAACCAATGATGTTGCAGCAGCAAAAAAGGAAGGCCCACCAGTGTCTGAACGCAAAATGAATTTCGCTGCTACAAAGAAACAAGATGCTCCACCCCCCAAGAAACCTATGACAGTAAACCCTAAACCCTAAACCCTAAACCCTAAACGTACTACATCTCAAAACAACGGGCATCTGGCAGTCCTGCTATGCTGTCAACCCCTGATTCTTAAATGTTTAGGGTTAATGGTCTACTGCTGAGGGTTTAGGGCCTACTATTTAAGGTTTAGGGTCTACTGTTTAGGGTTTAGGGTTTAGGGTTTAGGGTTTAGGGTTTTGTTTTGTTATAGGCCCCCACAGTGGAACGCGCGAGACGAACGTCTGTCCCATTGGAATGCCCTTTGGATGATGGTGTTTTCCTGATGTAATCCTAAACCCTAAACCCTAAACCCTCAACCCTAAACCCTAAACCATAATTTGCATAGTAGCTAGAGCCTCATTGGTAGCCGGTGGATATACATCTGAAGGGTTTTTTTTTCGCGTACCTTTCTCCGCAAGGGTTTAGGGTTTAGGGTTTAGGGTTTAGGGTTTAGGGCTTAGGGTTTAGGGTTTAGGGTTTAGGGTTTAGGGTTTAGGGTTTAGGGTTTGCATGCAGGTACGAAAAGGAGACTGACACGGTGTATGCGCAGTGGAGTAAGACCCCTCAAACCACCGCCTTAGCTTGGCTTAAACCGCTTGTTGCGATTCCAGAGCATAAATACAAAGTTAACGGAGGAAGACAAAATCTCTTCACGAAAGCAGTGGTGAGGTCTAGGGTTTAGGGTTTAGGGTTTAGGGTTTTCGGTTTTCGGGTTGGTTGAGGGTCGAAAAAGTAATTCGTAGGGTTTACACGAGGTTGTCAGCCCGTCTGCTCGCTTAGGGCTCAGGGTTTAGGGTTTAGGGTTTAGGGTTTAGGGTTTAGGGTTTGGTTGCTCTTCAACCCATAGTGTTGTCGGTAGATTTGCTGTTGGCGTGTCTTCGTTGTAAGCTGCTGCTGCTGTTGCTGCTGCACCTGCTGCTGCATTTGCTGCTGCATTTGCTGCTGCATTTGCTGCTGATCTTGCTGCTGTATTTGCTGCTGCATTTGTTTGCTGCGTTGTTACAAATAATATATTTTTATATTATTATTTTTATTTATTATCAGTGCAATTCTTCTTGTCTTTTATTACTATCATTTATTATTATTGCTTACTGTTATTATATATTTATTATATTATATATTTATTATATTATATTTATATTTATATATATACAATACCTTTATTCTTATATATGTAATTGTGTATATTTTATTTAAACGAACAATAATAAAAGTTATTGAAGATGAATAATAAAATAATAATAATAATAAATAAATAAATAATAAATAATAAATAATAATAATAATTAATAATAATAATAGCAATTTAATAATAAAGAGTAAAAGTATTGATATATTTTGTGTGTCTTAGGAAGAGGGTAAATATTACAAAGGCTGGATCCGGTTTATTTGTATAGTAAATGAATATCCTTCAAAGTTAATGCTGCTAGAAAACTTTGCTGCTGCTGCTGCACCCGATGTACAATTGCTGCTGCTGATTCCTTCGGGTGTAGCAGCAGGAGAGGCTTCTGCTGCAGCAGCAGCAGCAACAGCAGCAGGAGGAGGAGGAGGAGGAGCCGAATCTACATGTGTTGCTGTTGCTCTTGATTTATATAATAAACTCTACGATCTAAAAAACGTATTTGCTGTTGCTGCTGTACCTTGCAGCAGCAAATTAATTCCGACGCAGCAGCCGATAACCCCTCATAAATTTCTACAGATGGGGACAGGCGAAGGCGATGCAGCGTCGATACACCTCAAAAAGACATAAATTAAATAAATAAATAATTAAATAAATAATATATTAACTAATATATATATGTAAATTAATATGTAAATTTATTTGTTTGTTTATTTATTGTGGAGGAGACGCAGAGACAAAACGAATATATAAAAATATATATAAATATATAAATAAATATTTAAATAAATATATAAATAAATATATAAATTAATTATTTAATTATTTATTTAATTATTTAATTAATATGTATTGAAGTATGTAAATAAATAAATATATCATCAAGACAGAAAAAATAAAATCTAAGTATATATTTATTTGTTTATATTTTTAATTCACCGTCGCCTCTATATTAATGTTTATATATTTATATTTATATTAATATTTATATTTATATTTATTTGTTTGTAGCTATATTTACATTTATACACACATATATTTGCTTATTTGTATTTATATTTACATTTATTTATATTTATATTTATTAATATTTATATTTATATTTATTTGTTTGTATTTACATCTATATTTGCTTCTTTGTATTTGTAGACAAGTTTATTTATTTATAATTATTTATTTGTATCTGGACTTATTTATTTACTCTTACATTTATATTTATATTTGCACTTATATTTATTTATTTATATTTATTGAAGTCGTGTGCGGATAGTCGCAGATAAATAAATAATTAATTAAATAAATAAAATTAAATAAATAAATAAATAAATAAATAAATAAATCTGAGCATAAACAAACAAATTTTTTTGGCGTAGAGACTGCGTGTCTCCTCCTAACCTCTGTTTGTTTATTTATTTGTTTGTCTCTTTATTTTTCTATTTAATTAATTTATTTATTTATTTATTTATTTATTTAAGTTATATATTTGTTTACTCACTCGCCTCACAACAAACAGCGGAGGAGACAAAAAAAACAAAAGAAATAAGTTAAAGAGAAGTAAATAAATAAAAATAATAAACAAAGACATACGAGAGACAGATAGAGACAATATAAACAGAGTAAGAGAGAGACAGAGACAGAGCGACAGAGAGACAGACAGAGAGAGAGACAGAGAGAGAGACAGAGAGAGAGACAGAGAGAGAGACAGACACAGAGACAGAGACAGAGAGGCAGAGAGAGAGAGAGAGAGACAGAGTAAGAGAGAGACAGAGAGAGACAGAGACAGAGAGAGAGACAGAGACAGAGACAGAGACAGAGACAGAGAGAGGTAGAGTAAGAAATAAAAATAAATAAAAGAAAGAAATTGAAGGAGAGAGATATAAATAAAACAAGTAGGAGCAAAAAAGACAGAGAGATAAAGAGAGGGAAGGAAGAAAGACACAAAAGAGAGACAGATAAATGAGACAGACAAAGACAAAGAGAGACAGATAAATGAGACAGACAAAGACAAAGAGAGACAGACAAATTAGACAGACAAAGACAAAGAGAGACAGTTAAATGAGACAGAGACAGAGACAGAGACAGATAATAGAGACAGACTAAGACAAAGAGAGACAGATAATAGAGACAGAGACAGAGAGAAAGAGAGACAGATAATAGAGACAGACAAAGACAAAGAGAGACAGATAATAGAGACGGACGGAGACAGATAAAAGAGGCAGACAGAGACAGATAAATGAGACAGACAAAGACAAAGAGAGACAGATAATAGAGACAGAGACAGACAGAGACAGTTAATAGAGAGAGAGAGACAGAGACAGATAATAGAGACAGACAAATAAGACAGACAAAGACAAAGAGAGACAGATAATAGAGACGGACGGAGACAGATAAAAGAGACGGAGACAGAGAGATACAGAGAGAGACAGAGAGATAGAGACAGAGAGATAAAGATAGAGACAGAGAGACAGCGACAGAGACAAAAACAAAAAGAGAGTAAAGACAGAGAGCGTAAAGAAAGAGCAAGTAAAGAGAGAGACAGAGACAGCAACAGATAAACAGAGAGAGAGAGAGTAAAGCTATATAAATATATAATGTATATAATATATAAATAATATATATATATATATATATATTGTCTCTTGTCTCTGCTTTTTAGTATTGTCTGTCTTTTTCATCTCTTCGTCTCTGGCAACTTAGCTGACTGTACACTCCAATTTCCCCTAAACCCTAAACCCTAAACCCTAAACCCTAAACCCTAAACCCTAAACCCTAACGAGCCGGCTTATTCAGGCCTCCAGGGTTTACGAGTGATTAGGGTTTACGGTTTGACTGGGTGTATAACAGTACCTACGTAATCACCCCCCTTCAGATTGAGATGAGGGTTTAGGGTTTAGGGTTTAGGGTTTGCTGATCTTTTCTGTTCGCCCGGTGTACATACACCTGAAGCATATCAAACTACGGCTAGCTACAGCTAGCTGCAGCTAGCTACTGTTGCCTTCAGCTAGCTACACTTACCTGAAGCTGTCTACAGCTAGCTACAGCCGTCTACAGCTAGCTACAGCTAGCTACAGCTAGTTACAGCTGTCTACAGCTGTATACAGCTAGCTACACCTAGCTAGAGTTAGCTACAGCTAGCTACAACTAGCTACAGCTAGCTACAGCTAGCTAAGTAGTTTGACAGTTACTTGGCAGGGGTATAAGGCTTCACGCTCTGCTGCAGAGAGGTAGCAGCCCCCACACGGAAAACGGAAGGCAAACCCTAAACCCTAAACCCTAAACCCTAAACCCTAGGTCCTAAACCATAGACACTAAACCCAAAAACCTAGGCCTTAAAACCCTAAACCCTAAACATTGAACCCTAAACCCTACTCTCTAAACCCTAAACCCTACCAGCTAAATACTAAACCCTAAATGCAAACCCTCGTGCGGTTTAGAGACAGAGACAATGCTTGGCGTCTCCATTTGTTGAGTGTAGAGGCGGCCCCTTGTGGCGGGCAGCCATTAAACCCTAAACCCTAAACCCTAAACCCTAAACCCTAAACCCTAAACCCTAGGGTCCGAAGTGTTTTTATGCATAATGCGAGCGGCTTTCTATTTGTCTTTTATTTTTTTGTGGTTTATCTCTTGTGAATCTTTCAAGCCCCAAAGCATCAAGAGAAATTATCTCGAGCAGGGCGGCTGTTGCTGCATGCAGCGGTTTAGGGTTTAGGGTTTAGGGTTTAGGGGTCTGTAGAGGTGAGGGAGGGGTGAGTATGAGGGAAGAAACATTTTATCTGGAAATGTTTAGGAGAGCGTAGAGACAGAGTGCGGGGCGCGTTCGAAACCCTAAACCCTAAACCCTAAACCCTAAACCCTTAGCGATGCTGTTGTGTCCTTGTGGGTGAAGCGGCGAGATTGCCGCTTGTTTTAACTCAAGTTCTCAATAAATATTGAAAATATATTTAATATTTCTTTAAGTTCTATATCTTAATTTATATCTAGGGTTTGGCTCGCGGCCTGGAGGACCCCTGCTCTTCCCCTTCCTAAACCCTAAACCCTAAACCTTAAACCCTAAACCCTAATTCTTTAACAAATGGCAACCCCGTTTCCTGCAGGGGTTCCCTCTGGGGGAACACCTTTAGACCCAGCAGCTCTTGCAGCTCAAGCTCAGTTATTATCACCAGCAAATCTAGCAGCAGCAGCGAGGTGTATGTACACTCGAATAGATTCTTTTACAGGGGAGTTCAAGTTTCTATCTCTTGATTATCCCTCATTAATCTTCTTTCAAGGACGCTTCTTTCCCTCTGCTCGTCACGCCTTATTAGCTGCCAAACATCCTACTGCTGTTGAAGAGCTTGCATGCATCGAAGATATGAAAGAACTCAAACAAATCGCTAAAACCAAACAGGTTAGGCTTTAGGGTTTAGGGTTTAGGGTTTAGGGTTTAGGGTTTGGGGAGAGGGGGAGAAGGGTGAAGGGGTTGATGGGGGGTTAGGGTGATGGTGCTCGGTCGGTCGGAGGACCCAAGCAAAGAACAGGGTTTAGGGTTTAGGGCTTAGGGTTTAGGGTTTAGGGCTTAGGGCTTAGGGATTAGGGTTTAGGGTTTAGGGTTTAGGGTTTGGGCTCAGGAAGATCCCGACTGGCCGCGGTATCGATTGAAATGGATGGAGTTAATTCAGCGAGACAAATTCAGGAGAAACGCAGGTGTATATCCCCTAAACCCTAAACCCTAAACCCTAAACCCTAATGCAGTTTCTGGTGTATATAGTGTTGGTGTATGATTCTTTTAGAGGGATTTCAGTTGGGGTTTAGGGTTTGGGGTTTTAGGGTTTAGGGTTTAGAGGGTTTAGCTTTAAAAGGGTTTGAAGGGTTTAGGGTTTAGGGTTTGTAGGGTTTAAATAGCTTTATACACGTGATTAATCTGATAGCTAGACCCTAAACCCTTTCTTTTTCCTAAACCCTAAACATACGGCCTACAAACCCTAAACCCTCTACACTTCTAAACCCTAAACCCTAAACCCTCTGAACCCACTAAAGCCTAAAGCCTCGTGGCCTTACAAACCCTCTGTAAACCCCGAAAACCTCTTTAACCCTAGTCGCTAAACCCAAAACCCTAACGGGCTTTTAGACCCTTTAAACCCTAAACCCTCAACAGTTCCCTCAAAACCCTAAACCCTCGGCACTCCCCTGAAACCCCTGAACCGTCAGCCCTGCCTTCAAAACCCTAAACCCTAATTGGGATAATTTCTTTGATGTTTGTTGCTGCAGATTTGCGAGAGAAGTTAAAACAAACAGGAGGCAGAGATATTGTCTGGATAAACACCGGGGATGCGTACTTCGGACAGACCCGTTTAAATAAAGGACAAAACCACCTTGGAAGAATTCTAATGGAAATCAGACAAAATATTATCGATGATACTGAACTAGAATGTACGCTTTAGGGTTTAGGGTTTAGGGTTTAGGGTTTAGGGTTTAGGGTTTAGGGTTTGGCGTTTAAATAAAGGGTATAACCATCTTGGAAAATTTTTTATTAAAATTAGACAAAATATTGCAGATGACATTCAAGTGAGGGTTTTGGGTTTTGGGTTTAGGGTTTAGGGTTTAGGGTTTAGGGTTTAGGGTTTGTGTGGGGTGTACGTACAGCTTGGCTGGTCATCTGCCACGACATCGAGACGGAAGAAAGGTCTCTTCCTGTTTTGCGTTTGTTAGAAAGAAGAGAAGGAGACAGCACAACAACAGAGATATTGCTGAGGGGGAAGTCTTTCTATAGAATAGGTGAGGGTTTAGGGTTTAGGGTTTAGGGTTTCTTAGGGTGTAGGTTGAGATTCAGCAGTGTTTATTAGGTTATAGAGGGCTTTTCTCTGTCTACAGGTACTTCCCCTTAAAGTTGCTTTGAAGGAAGCAGATTCACATATTAGGGTTTAGGGTTTAGGGTTTAGGGTTTAGGGTTTAGGGTTTGTTGTTCAGGAAAGCTGGCGGACAACGACTTAGTCGCATTAAACCCTTCGGTCTCGAGACGCCACGCAGCCCTCGTGGTATTAAAAGGAGGGCATGTGTTGTTAATTGATTTAAAAAGCAAAGCAAAGACATTTAAGTAAGGGTTTAGGGTTTAGGGTTTAGAGTTGATAAGGGTTTAAGGTTTCGGAAGTAGCCTCCTATGGCTGGGAGGCTGGGGAGACCAGTTAAGGGTTTAGGGTTTAGCGTTTCAGGAGATTGGCGAGGGAGAAAAGAAGGGTTTTCAAGACAGAGTTCTACCCGAGGGATTAGGGTTTAGGGTTTAGGGTTTAGGGTTTAGGGTTTAGGGTTTAGGGTTTTGTGTGCAGGAACGGCATGCCCCTCGATCACGACCATGTTGGGGTACAGATGCAAACCAACGACAGCTTCAGTTTGGGGGCCTCCAGCCGCCATTACCTCCTTGAGGTGCGCGAGGGTTTAGGGTTTAGGGTTTAGGGTTTAGGGTTGCTGAGGGTTTAGGGCTGCTGAGGGTTTAGGGTTTAGTGCGCCTCTTACCTGATGGTTTTGTCTTCTTCCACCCTTGTTTTCTGCATAAGGCTAGGGTTTAGACTTGCTAAGTGGGATTTAGAGTTGTTTATTGCGGTTTAGCGTTTAGGGTTTAGGGTTTAGGGTTTATGATTGTTTATTTCTATCTATTATTATTATTTCGGTGTGAGGCTTATCTCTGGAATAGGGTTTTATTATGTTGCGTGGTTTTATTCTCTAATTGCCGGCTACTGTTCCTCATGTTTTAGGGTTTGGGGTTTAGGGTTTAGGGTTTAGGGTTTAGGGTTTAGGGTTTAGGGTTTTGTGTGCAGATTGACACCACATCTGTGGTGGATTATCTTCAAAGACGAGGAAGAGAGTTAAACAGAGAGTTGAGTTTATTAGCAGAACAAGTTAATGAAGCTCAGGGCATCACGACGAAAAGCCTTACTAAGGTCTCTAAACCCTAAACCCTAAACCCTAAACCCTCATAGGAAAAGAGACAACACGAGTTGAGTTTATTAGCAGAACAAGTAAATGAAGCTCAGAGATTAACGACGAAAAACCTTAGAAAGCGGCTTAGGCTTTAGGGTTTAGGGTTTAGGGTCTCTAAACCCTAAACCCTAAAGCCGCTTTGTGCAGTTGTGCAGTATGTGGGTACCACGGCGTTGGCGTGTAAACCCTAAACCCTAAACCCTAAACCCTAAACCCTAATTTGGGGTGTATGTGCAGGTGTTTGTTGGAGGTTTAGCTTACAGCACCAGCCGCTACGACCTTTGCGAGTTGTTTGCGGAGGTCGGGAATATAAAGTCTATAGTAATTCCTCAAGTAGACAGATCAATCCCTCCCGATTATGAAGGTAACTCCTGCTGCTGCTGCTGCTCTTGCTGCTGCTGTTGCTGTTGCTGCTGCTGCTGCTGTTGCTGCTGCTGCTGCTGCTGCTGGTTGTGTTATTGCTGCTGCTGCTGGTTGTGTTATTGCTGCTGCTGCTTGTGTTGTTGATGCTGCTGCTGCTTGTGTTGTTGATGCTGCTGCTTGTGTTATGGTTGCTGCTGCAGCTGCTAATGTTGTCGCTGCTGCTGCTGCTGCTCCTGCTTGTGTTGCTGCTGCTTCTGCTGCTGCTGGTGTTTCTCTATGTTATGAGCGCAAGCCTGCATAATAATAAACAAGCAAATAAACAAATCTAATTAATTAATTAATTAAATTTATTTATTTATTTATTTATTTATTTATTTATTTATTTATTTATTTATTTATTTGTTTATTTATTTATAGGGGCTTACTCTGTTAGAGGTATTGCTTTTGTTCAATTCGAAGACGCGGAGTCTGCGAAGAAGGCGCTGCAATGCAACGGAAAAATTGTCAACGGCCGAAGTGTAGTGGTGATTGATTAAATTAATTAAATTAAATTAATTTAATTAAATTAATTAAATTAAATTAATTTAATTAAATTAATTTAGTTTAATTTAGTTTAATGCAGTAGTTTAATTGTCCTTTTATTTATTTATTCTATTTGTTTTATTTTATTTGTTTTGCTGCAGGTGACGCCTGCAAATTTGACGCGAGAGGAGAGAGCAGCACAAGAAGATTTGATGGTTTGTCTTTTATTTATTTATTTATTTAATTTTAATCTTAATTTTGTTTAATTTTAATTTTAATTTAATTTAACTTTATTTCTTTTTGTCTGCTGCTCCTTCTGCTGCCTCTCTTCTTGCTTCTGTTAACCCACTGCTGTTCTTGCTGCTGCTGCTGGTGTTGCTGCTGTTATCCCTGCTGCTGCTGTTGCTGCTGCTGCTGGTGTTGCTGCTGTTATCCCTGCCCTTGCTGTTGCTGCTGCTGCTGTTGCTATTTCTGCTACTGCTTGCACGTGATGCCTACTGCTGCTGCTTGTGTTGCTGCTGCTGTGCTACTGCTCTCGTTCCGCCTGCTGCTTCTCCCGGTTTTTGTTCGTTTCCTACTACCCCCGCTGCTGCTGCTGCTGCTGCTGTTGCTGCTGCTGCTGTTTGCAGGCTGAGGGAGAGATGAATTTTGTTGCTGCAACAGATAAGACATTCGATCACCCGACACACGGCTCGCTGCGTACTGGGCACGGATTAGAAGATTCAGGAGCAGCAGCAGCAGCAGCAACATCTCGAAATCTGCTGCAGCAAGCAGATCCTTTAACAGGAGAGCCTCTAGAAAGAAGTGCTAGAGGCAACTGGCTTCATGATGATGAGAGAGCACAAGAAAGTAATATTAAATTAACTAATGCAGATATAAGAAGAGTTCAAGGCAGCAACAAAACCCCCTCAAGGACTTTGCGTTCAGAGACAGAAGGCGCTAGAGATGCACGCATGGCTGCTGCTGTTGCTGCTGCTGCCAGCAGCAGCAGCAGCAGCAGCAGCAGTGCTGAAGGGGGTGCATCAAGCAGAGATAGACACAGACGCAGCCGCTCGCGTAGCAGAAGCCGCAGCGGAGAAAGAAGAAAACATAAAAGCAGCAACAGGAAATAATTGCTGCAGCAGCATTTTGCTTACTGCTTGTTGCAGCTTGCTGCTGTTGCTGCTGGCTGCTGCTGCTTGTTGCGCATTGCTTTGTCTCAAATATTGAAGCCCCCTTCTCCCCGCCGTAGCTGCGGGTCTGCATGCAGAGAGAGAAGAATTTTGTTGTTTGACTGTCTATTATCTTGGCTTATTTCCTTACAGGAATGAGTTCAATGAAGATCAGCACATACCCCTCAATAAGGGCCTAGGGTTTAGGGTTTAGGGTTTAGGTTTTGGAGTAGGCAAGTGTGTTGCGTATTAGTACTGGCGAGAGGGATAGGGTTTAGGGTTTAGGGTTTAGGGGGCATTACAACTGAAGGCAGAAATCGCAGTGGCGTGCAAGCATCTGTTCTAGGGTTTAGGGTTCGTGGGTTCTCTTAACATTGTTTCTCCTGCTTATTATTCTTCTTTATTTACTCTGTTATCAACACAACGATTGAAAAGCAAAGGAAAAGAATTATTTTTATCTTTTTAAATGTAGAAGCAGTGCGAGACCAGGCAGTTGTACTGCGATTGAGAGTGTCGGGCGTCTACCTGGCTTCAATGAGATGAAATTGGGAATAAAATGATTTAAATAATCATTTAAATAATATTTATAATTTTAAAATCAGAAAAACACGCCGCTTTAGCCGCTTTCTTCTTCGATTTCCACTGCAGTGGTCTGTTGTTCATGAATGTGTGTGAGGATTGAATGTAACAGAAATTTTGGAGGAAAAACAGTTGAAATTTATGATTATTCATTGAAAAAACGAATTAAATTAATTTTATTGAATATTTTCCGGTTATTTTAATCCTTTTATCGTCAGAAGGCTCTGCTTTCTTCTACTGCGTCGCCGCCATCCATTCAATCTTTGCTCCGCTGGAGAGGTATACGAGTTACTCGGGGCGCTTTGAACGAAATAAATCCAAAAAGAATTATTTTTTTACAACAAAAACTTGTAAAATTTAATATACTTCTTTTTTCTTCTTTTTCTGCATTTCTATAGGTGTGTTTCTGCACTGCGCTGCCTACGCAGTTTCCCAGGGTTTCTGGGTTTTCATAGGGAGAAAGTTTGTAATTTCAAGACAAAATGGAAGAGAAAAAATGGGAGAAAGAAGAATTAGAGGAAATTTATGAAAATATAAAACGTCATCAACCCGAACAAATGAAAAATTATGCAAAGTTTCTGCAAAATGTTGGCGAAAAACAAATTGCAAAGTGGAGAGAATTAGCAGAAAGTCTTCAGCTTGAATTGGATATCAACACAGGAAGAATTAAATATAAAAATAATTTCAAACCTTTAGATATCCCTGTAGAGATTTGCTACGTTAGACACGGAAAAACACAAGGAAATACGGAACCCAGAGTCTTTCAGGTAACAAACCCTAAACCCTAAACCCTAAACCCTAAACCCTAAACCCTAAACCCTAATCCGTGAATTTCAAGGCAGAAACGTGAAACGTATACTCTTTTCCTTGAGCAACTACAAAGAAAGGAGATTTTCTAATTCACGTAAACATGAACAGAATATATATAAATATAAAGGGTGTATAAACATAAATATAAGCATAACAATAAATATAAACAAAAACATAAACCTAAACTAAAACATAAACATAAATGTAAAAGCAAGTACAAATATGAAGCTCAGCGTGCTTGTATACATATATATATATATATATATATATATATATATATATTCTTTTTTTAATTACAACTTCAATAGACGAAAATATATATGTATATTTATATTTCTATTTATATTTCTATTTACATTTCTTCCTTCTCTTTTTCTGTTTTTGATTGCACCTTGCATAAAGAAGCACACATATAAATATATAAATATATATTATATTTATCCTTCTTTTTTTAATTACAATGCGCATGCAGGGACAAGTAGACTATCCGAATAACCAACTAAATGCATTAGGTTTGCAGCAAGCAGAAGAAGCAGCAGAGCGTCTTTCTTCTCTTTTGCATGCAAATGCTTGGGGCCCCCCAGATATAATTATTTCATCGCCTTTAATGAGAGCTCAGCAAACAGCAAAACCCTTCGCAGACAAAAACAAACAAATTCAATTCGAAGTTCTTCCAGAAGCAGCAGAAATGAAATTTGGAGAGTGGGATAATGCAAAGGTATATATAAATATTATATATATATATATAATTTATATAGTGCATATGTAATATATATATACATATATATATATATATATATAGATATAATATATAT